CGCAAGGTCGGCTTTGAAGTGCGGACGGCGTCCGGTTTCGACAGTAAAGCGGACGGTGCCGTCATCCGTCAGGATATGCAGGTGTTTGCCATGTGCTTAGGGGGGCCCTGGCAAAATGACCTCCGAGTTCCAACCATCGGAGCCCTGCAGCATGGTAAGGAGGTCAAAAGAAGCTGGTGCGTTGGTGCCGCGCGGTGCAATGGCCACACACATACCATGGAAAAGATCCAGAAGTTGCCCCGCTCCAAGGGCGTGGAGGAGGCCATGTGAGTACACATGGTGGTCGCAATCCTCTGGGAAACCAGCTGCGCGAAGCAGTTCCTCGCGAGTCGCACGTGGCCGAACGGCAATGGCATATTGCGATGCATCGATCTGACGGCAGTCCAGGAGCACTGTGACTGTGCTGGATTGCCAGGCAGGGCAGGCAACGAAGGTGGCCAGTTCCTGCATGGGCTGTGGCCGCACAGGCCATAGTTCAGGAAAGGACTCGAAGGCAGCGGAAGTCCGTGCATCCTGACGCTCCGCAAGGGCGTGGTCGACACCACACGGCAGCTGCAAGCCAAACAGGTGGAGCTCTGTCACGAAAGGAGGGCTTATAGACAAGTGCAAGGAGCCGGGTAGAACCTGCCGGTCTTGCTGCAACAAGTGGCACAACGGGATCCTGAAGAACCACTTGCGCCGACGGCGGAAAAGGTCCGCGGCGCTCGGTAGTGCCAGATGCAGTAGTCATGCCCAGATGGCCGCCAGTATCGCCAGTTCGAGCGGGGGTGCCTCCTGTCGCAACATCCATAGCATCGGCGTCTGCAGCTGCCCTGTTGCCAGCAGAAACAGCAACTGGAGGGTCAACGTGCTGTGGTTCGTCATCAGAGCTGTCGCTGCTGGAAGAACTCTCATCTTCCGTCTGAACAGCATAAAAGAGCAGGGTACAGTGACCCTTGACGTGTATGTCATCGCGCTTTCGCCGTCCCCCGACAACATGCACCCGCTGAAACGGTGCCACACAGATATCAAACTGCGAAAGCAAGCCGGGAAGGTTGACTGCAGGGTAGGTCGTGTGAACCATTCGCGGTTTATTGCCAAGCGGTCGAAAATCGCACAGGATAAAAACATCCCGTCGCTCGTGGTGCGGCGTCCCGGGCTCGTGTCCGGCAGGGACATCGGCAACAGCAACAACCGTTGGACACCAGTCACCCTGTACATCAATGGTCACCAGGTGCGGTTGGAGCTGCAGGCATCGGCAGATGGCTTGTGTCGGAGTCTCGCCATAATGATGATGTGAGGGCAGGCTGAAGCGGTCGGCTCCATGCAGGACGCACAGGCTGGTTGTGCCTTCCGGGGCGGGGCATTGCCATGCAGGTCCCCATTGCGCATCAGCAGCGAAAAGCGCTTCAATCCGGTGCCGCGGGAAATGGATGTGAGGTCCATGGGTGGCTGTGATGACATCACCATTGCTGAGTTGTACCGGGAGAGTTTTGGAGGCCGGCTGCTCAGACAACCCAACGTACAAGCACAGATCTTCATCGCTGTGATGCGTGAAGGGACGCAGGAAGGCCTCAAGACTGTCATGGTCAATCTCAGCAGGAAGGACAGTGGCGAAAAAGCGGCCGCCCACCCGGGTCAAGTCGAGGACGACCGCAACTTGCCGGTTGACGGCTGACTGTGGCATGTTGGGGGAAAACCGGAGGAAACACCCGTAACCATCAAACCGTTGTGGTCGGAGCGGGAGGACTTTGGTGTAAAGTCCGGGAGGCACCCCAGGCACATGATCTTGCACTGCTTGCAGGGCCGCCTGCAACGTGGGCTCACTTCCAAGTTGCAATGTGGCAGTGACAGGCAGATAATGCGGGGTATACACATGGATGCTAAGGCCTGTGCCAGTGTCCTCATCCTCAGGAGGGGGCACACGGGCAGGCACTCCCACTGACACGGTGACATGTTCCGGAGTGCTGATCACTGGAGGATCCCAAGGAAGTTCTTCCAGACCTTTGCCAACAAGAGGCACAAGTTCAGACACGGGAATGCTGTGGGGCCTTCTTGCCGGGGCCAAAGCAGCAGTGTCAGATGGCTCTGGGCGCGCCATGGCGTCGACTCCATGAGCAACCAGAAGGGGCCCGAGAGTATGGAGCACTGGTGGACGGAGGTCGAAGGCGTCGACCGCGTCCGGCAATGTCAAAAGGAGCAGCAGGGCACGGCAAATCCGAGTCCCGATGTGGTCGAGACAACGGATGGGCCTGGAGGCACTGCATGGACGCCCGCTGCGTCGCTGTCGACTAGGTGTGGCCACACCACACGGAGAAGCAGAGACAAGAAGAGGCATCCAGATGACAGCACTCTGTGGAACCTTGCTGCCTCGTAACCATTTAGGAGCCCCAGCCCAGAAAATGATGTGAAGCAAGCCTCCGAGTGCGAAACAGTTCTCTGCCAGCAGCAGTAGGCGCGCCTGTGCTTCAAACCAAGGTAGGCCTGGTGGGACAGCTCGGTTGGCGGTGTACAAGACAACGCCACACAACAATGCAGCAAGACCAACTGCAAGCCGGCAGTACCACGTCGAGACACTATCCTGTGGGGCTGTTTGGACAGGGAGGCAGACAGCGGCGCGCTCAGCGACACACCGAGCAAATTGCACGGATCCTTCAAGGTGATGCTGCACACGCAGGCGATACCAACGGGGCAGGAGCAGAAGCCCGAAGACCAGAACAAGGGCTGCACACACAAGCGTCCCGCCAAGCACGACCACAATGGCTGACGCAGGATGGCACCTTTGACCTGGTGCCAGGGACGGGCTGTGAGTGCCCGAAAAGTCAGAGGCATCTCGCAGTCCTGGTGAGGCTGTCACACTCCAAAACTGACAGCTGCTGCAAGGGTCAGGGGGCCCTAAACCCGAAAGGGGAACATCGAGGTGCACAGGACTAACCCTTAGGGAACCACAAGGGGATCCTAAAGGGTAATGGAATGACACACGGCTTGCGAAGGCGGAGGCCCCAGAGCTACCGATGCCTCTCTTAAGCGCTCTTCGCTTGAAAAACGCCGGTGTGTCCTTCGGCTGCGGAAGACGGTCGCCAGTGCAACAAGACTGAGCCGCATGGCAAGGCAGGGCGCAACACGGGAACACCCAAAATCCAGGGCATCCTTGCTGCGCAGAGGAGACAAGGGCACGTCGGGCCGCCACACTCTCGAATCCAGGAGGGGTCGGTCCGGCACACCCTAGGCGAGGTAGGCAGCAGGCTGGCAGAGGAACCGGGAGGAGCGGCAACCTGGGCATCCTGTACATGGCAGCAAAACTGATGTGAGACCGGAGAAGTCCAGGTAATCCGGCTGCGACCTCGCCATGTGCAGCGCATTCTCTGAGGGGCGGCAGGCAAACTGCGACCTCTCCCCTGAGAGATCGAACAGGTCCGAGGCCCTCCAGAGTGCGAGACACACCGCAAGGCAGCAGCCGATCGCCCGACTTCTGCCCTATCCATTTCAGGTTCCAGTGGTCTCTCGTCCTCTCGTCAGGAGTCGTGCACTCACGTCCTGGTCGGAGTCGTCGGTGTCGTCGTCTCCCAGTACAGCTGCCGGTGGTCCTTCGCCGGATGGTGCGGAACGACCCGGATCGATGCCGAAGGGCTGCATGGCACGTCGGCGGGCTTCGAGCTTTTCTCCCAAGCTGGCAGTGCCAAGCGGAGTGTGCACCGGGTGGAGAGCTGCACCTTTCACAGGCTGTCGCGGGGTACTCCTGGTACGCACCGGAGTAGCAGAACCAGTCGCCGTAAGTGGGCCCGCGGCTTCGGCCACACGTGTAGATGGAGAACCCATGTAAGGAGGCTGCGGCGGCAACTCCAGACCTGGTGGTGGGGCATCTCGTGGTCCGGGTCCTGGCACAGCAGGTTCTGAAGAGCGGACCGCACCATCCCCAAAACCGTATGGGGCAGTTGGGTCTTCGGGTGGCAGAGCAGCTCCAACAGCGGCAAGGATTCGGGCCACCTGTTCCGGTGTCATAAGGCGTCCTTCCGGCTGTGGTTTGGGAACTTGCCTGGTCCGCCGTTCGACCGCGGCAGCAGCACGGAGAGCATCCTGTAGAAAGCCGGAGGCGCTTGGCTCCTCGGCAGGGTTGCTGGCAAGCAACTCGTCCCACGCATCGGTCTCTCCTTCGATTGCCTCTGGTCGGGAGACGCGCCCATGGGTGGCCAACTCCTGGACCTCGGTAGAGGCGTCGAGGCCCTGCTGTGTGGCCGCCGCAATGTCGTCGTCGATCTTGTGGAGGTCGGCCTCGAACCGCTTCATTTGCTCCATGTAGTCGGCCCGGGATTTCTTCTTGAAAAGTTCCCACTGCTTCTCGCGCTTCACTCGGTCCTCCTGGAGCTTTCTCACACGGCCATCCGCTCGGCGAGCCGCCGAAACAGATTTCTGTATGTCCCGGAGGACATCGCCGTGCGGTCCCTCGGTCCTGGGGCCAGTGGCTGAGCCTGCGGGCCGCGACCTGGTGTCCTCCGCCGGAACCTCCATCATGTCGTACCGCAGCGTAGTGGCCTTCGCTTTGGGTGAGGCCGAGTAAGAGCCCGGCCACAAATGCCAAGGCTTTCCACCCTTGCCGTAGCCACCCTTGCCGCGGCCTTTGCGGCTGTCGTGCTCCCATTCTTTCCATTCCTTGCGTCCTCCCATTGATCGCGACTCCCGATAGCACGGGGCGGAGTGGTGTCCCTGTAGCAGGGCCAGGAGTGTCCACGGTGGCTCCTTGCCACGTCGTCGTGCTTGCCAAACTCTGCGCCTTGCAGAGGATCGGCGGCGTCGCTGGTTGCGATGCCAAGCCGGCGAGACAGGAATGGCTGGCGTGTGCTACACACACTGGGGCTATCCAGCAATACCCAGTCTTTACCGGGTTCGATCCGGAAACCCTGGGGGGCTTAATTATTAATAATTGGAATAGGGTTTAGGGGCCCATTGTACTATACTTGTAACAAGGAGCCCCCAGAATAGTGTAGGTAATATTTTCAGGCCCCCTATGTTACACCATCTGCCTGCGGCGGAGGAAGGGGCAAATTGTAGAGATCCTGGTCGTTGTTGGGCCACCAGTATGGCTTCCTTGGTCCATTCGGCGCAGAAGGATTCTGGAATGTCAAGCTTGTAGAGTTTTGGGTTTTGGCTTTAGGGTTTAGGTGGGGTGTAGGGCTTAGGGTTGAGGGTGTGGGGTTTAGGGTTTAGGGTCTAGGATGTTGAGTTGAAAATTTAGGAGATAGAGTTTTGAAAAGGATGTATGGCTTTCCGTCGCGCATCGCCTGAAGCGAACCATGATCTAAGTTTAGGCGCAAGCCTACCCAGAAGCCTTAATCGTCAAGCCCCCACACTCATCCTAAGCCCTAAGCCCTAGGCCCGAAACCCGAAGGCCTGAAAACCTAAGGCCCTAAACCCGGGGTCCGAAACCCGAAGGCCCTAAACCCGGAGTCCGAAACCCTAACGCCCTAAACCCTAAACCCGAAGCCGAAACAAAACCAGAAAAGGCCGAGCCGCACCTCCTTGCTGCAAGGCTCACCTGCGACCGACCCAAGCACGCTGGGCTTAGTAATAGGTTTGGTTGACTGCATTAGTTCTTTTGCTGTTTTTTTAATAGGTTTGGTTGACTATCCTAGTCTTTTTTGCTAGGGCCCTGCGCGCCGACTGCGTGTGCGCATTGGCGCCATCTCTGAACTAGTTTTGGGTTTAGGGCCTAGAGCGCAAACTTAAACCCTGAAACCGATATCCTTGCCGCCGACGAAACATGAGGCTTTGGACCTAGGACTTTAGGGCTTCGATCCGTTAACAGGTTTAAGGTTTATGGCTTAGGGTTTAGGGTTTAGGGTTTAGGGTTTAGGGTTATGGTTAAGGGTACATGCACAGCTGTCAGGGAACCCTAACCCCCGAGCCTCCCCAAAGCTGCAGGCCTTCACGACAACCCCTGAAGCCACGGCTCAGCGGTGTAGGGTTTACGTCTGCCGAAAGCCAGAATAAAGTAGAACCCTCTCACATCCCCGCCTGAAGCCTAAACTCCAAAGCTGCGGGAACTCAATCCGCACAGCATAGACTCGAAAATCGAAACCCAAGACTTAAACCTAAACCGCCCTCCAGGCGCCTGAAATGACCTCCTTGTTCTCCAGGTATCGGAACTTTCCGTCTGCGATGCTTTTCCTGCGGCGCGGGCGAGCCAAAAACTGCAAGCTTCAGAACCCAGAGACTCCGACAACCCCTTCATCAAAGAATAGACGACAAATTACCATAAGGGTCATTCCATATGTTCTATATATATATATATATATATATATCCCTGAGCCAAGGGCTTTGGAGTCTCTGCGAAGATCCTCTCGGGTGCTTGTAAGGGTTCTCTGAGGAGTTCATGCTGCAAGGGTTCTACAAGGGTTGGGTTTAGGGGGATTATGGTTTAGGGTTTAGGGGGGGTGTCAGCCTAGGTTTTCGGATTAGGGTGTAGTTTCGTCAGCAAAACCTACACGAAAGCTCGCATCCTACTTGCTCCCTGCGGCCAATGTCGAAAGCCATCGCCGGCTTCTTCAGAGGATGCTTGGTAGAAACCCTGTGAAACCCTGAAGACCTGCTTGTCTGTGGTACACTGCAAGAGTAGCTGGAGACAGGGCCAGAGTCAAGCTAACAGCCCGGGGAGAGTTTGAAAGACATGAACTTAGACTCAGACGGACCGGGGTGTTGGAGTTGGAGATTGACAGAGAGAAAAAGCGGTGACAGAGAGACTCAGAGGGGGAGAGAGCCACAGTCAGAGCCAGAGTCACAGTGAGAGTCAGAGTGAGTTAAGATACATGAAGTGCAGAAGATAGACCAAGATCGCCAGCTCAAGCGCACGACAAGTCTGCAAAGGCCAGAACATCACCCCAAAAACAAGATGTGGTCTAGAAACCCTAAACCCTAAACCCTAAAAGCAGCCATGCGCAGAAGCTCTAGTCCTCCAGCAGTTCTTCGCCCAAATGCCTTCGCCGAGCTGGGATGTCATTGTGTTGGCCTAATCCCTAAACCCTAAACCTTAAACCCCAAAACCCCCTAAACCTTCCCTCCTTTTACCCTTGGCCTAAACCCTTAACCCTAAACCATAAACCCTCAACTGCAACGGGGCGAGGACGATCCAGAGGTTTTTCGACGAATTCTTAGAGGTGTCTTGCAACCCAAAACCCCCGAACCCCAACCACCAAAACCATAAAACCAGTTCTTCAAACAACAGACTCACAACCTCCAACAACCCGAAAGCCCCTGTAACCTGAAACTTCAAACCCGAAGCCCTAAACATTAAGCCCTTCCTAAACCCTGAACCCGAAACTTCAAACCCAAAGCCCTAACAAAGGGGCTTTAATGATTAGAACGGGGCTTCGGGGCCCAAACATCTATAATCATCATAACAAAAGCCCCCAAAAAATAGCTAAGGTAATTATGTAGGCTCCTATAGTACCCTTAACCCTATAAACGGTCCCTTATAGACCCCTTAAGGGAACCCTTAGGGATTCCTTTAAAGCTAGTATAGGAAAGTCATGAAGGCCCTATACTATCCTCTGCTCTCCAAGTCGCCAGTTGCAGCATAGACCCAGGCGGTGCAATCCTCCTCTTCCTGGGCAGGGGGGCTTCGCTGGGACCTTGAGGCCTTCTGCATATTAGGGTTTTAAGTTTCGGGTTTAAGGTTTAGGGTTTAGGGTCTAGGGTCTAGGTTTTAGGGTCTAAGGTTTAGGGTTTAGGGTGTAGGTTTTAGGGTTTAGGGTTTAGTAGAGCAGGTTTCAGAAGCTTTTGGGTTTAGGGGGTTGAGGGCACATTTTGATTCAGCTCCCTTTCCCTTCGCCCATTCCTGGGCTAAAGTTTGCGGCTTCGGATGTTGAGATTTTGGGTCGAGGGCTGAAGCCTCGAAAGCTGCTTTGGGCTGACGGCTAGACGGTTTAGGGTTTAGGGTTTAAGGTCTAGGGTTTAGGGTCGGGGTTAAGGGTTCAGAAGCCTACCGCCTAAAGCCCGGATCTATTCGCAAGCACTGCCAACATTGAACCACTACAACCACTCCTTCCTACTAGACACCCCCTTCTCGAGCTACCCTTGCAGAGCAGTTTACGGAACTGATAGGTTTTTGGTTCATAGGCTCCAGAGTGGGACACCAGGTCACTTTCCTGCAGAAGCCCTCAATCCTTGCACCCCGAAACACCCAAATAACCGCGCAAGAGATCCTAAACCCTCAATCTTAAACCCCTAAACCCTAAACCCTTCACCCTGAATGCTAGACCCCAAGAAATCCTAAACCCTCAATCTTAAACCCCTAAACCCTAAACCCTTCACCCCTGAATGCTAGACCCCAAAAGCGTTTAGACGGACCTACTGGGCCGAGGCACAGTGCAGCTATACTGGCACTGGGCCGCGGAAGAGACCTCGGCGGCCAAGTCTTTATATATGGGGGCCTTAATAATTTGAATAGGGTTCCTTTAAAGGGTCCTTTAAGGGTTGCTTTGGGGGATCTATAAGGGGACTCTTATATGGGGGGGATTGATAATTACAATAGGGTTCTGGGGCCCACTATACTGTACTGTAGTGATAACAAGGCACCCCTAAATAGTATTGGTAGTTGTTTAGGCCGCCGTATAGTGGTGTTCTTCTGGTTTTTGTTCCCCTCGACCATTTTTCACCCAAACGTCAAACAGCTCTAAACCAAGCCCTAAACCCCAAACTTTGAAGCCTTCAAACGAAAACCAAAATACCCGACACAGCCCTCCTGGCACCATTACAACCCGCAAAGAACCTTGAAGAACCTTGACGGTCATAGGTGGTCATAGCTTGTCGAAAGCTCCCACTTCCACAGTCGCTGGGGTTGACACATTCTTCTCGGAGCGCATGAGGTAGGCGTCCTGGTCTGCATGGGTTCGGCAGGCAAAGGGCCCTAAACACTAAACCCAATTAGACTGAAGGCTTAGGATTTAGGATTGAGAGCTTAGGATTCAGAGTTTAGGGGTTAAGGCCACCCAAGAGTTCAAGCTCTTGCTTCCTGTTCTTGGCCTTTTTGACCGAAAGCTTCCCAAACCCTAAACCCCTAAACCCTAAACCCTGAGCCTCTATAATCCCCTAAACCCTAAACCCTGACCCCTTAACCCCTAAACCCTAAACCCCTAACCCCCTGAAACCCTAATTCCCTCTTAGAGAGCCCTGGCGACGAAACGCCTGCAGCCAAGGCTCCAGGGTGAGCCCAGGCGAAGCAGGCTCAATGCTGTATCCCACCTGCTTCGGGGTTCGTTAAGGGGGACTTTTAAAATGCCTGAAGATCTTTAGGCTTCCATAAAGGCGTCTTATGGGGGTCTATGAGGGCATTTATAAGGCACTCAAAAAACCTCAAGTTATGATCCTCGGGGGTTCCATAATAGGGGGGTTCTAAAGCTGCTGCAAAGGCTCGACACGGGCTCTACAGATGGGCTGGGGTTTAGGGTTTAGGGGGCAAAAAGGGCCGTAGGGGCTTTGCATGGTGGTATAAAGCCGTTTTAAGGCTTCGGAGATTGGGCTGAGGGAAAAGAACTCGCAGTTCCAGGTTTAAGGTTCAACGGTCGCTAGACCGCAGTGGGTGGTCGCATTCGGCGAGTGAATAGAACCTCACTTGTCCAGAGTAGGGGTTTAGGGTTTTGGGGTGTGAGAACCTCAAGTGTTAGTGCTGGTTGTTAAGATCCATCAACTAGTTCATGGCTGGGATAGTATTAAGGATGGTACATTTTCATTGCTTATTGAGTTTCAATACCCATAAACATGTATATAAGTTGTTACCAAATTATGACAAACCCTAAACCCTTGACAAAGTCAACTGGGCCAGGCTGCCAGTTGCTGTGGACACTCGTGAGCGATCTGCCACCTTCCAAAACCACCGAGAGCGCGCTTCGGGTGTGGGGGTTCACTGCATTCAGGCTTTGACGTTCAGGGGTCATTTTTTATTTCTGGGGTTTGGGGTTTAACGAACATGCTGTGGAGTTCAGGTTTTCTGGATCGAAGAACAAGGAGCAAAACTCCGTGCTGAAAGGGCTCAGACAGAAATCGCTCCACATCTTCCCTCCCTAAACCCTAAACCTACGGTTGATGATATAAATCCTGCATCACCCACGGTAAGGAATATACGATAATTCCCGTAGTTGGGGGTCCTTAATAAGGTAATGCAGGATTTATATCATCAACAGTAGTATTGCTTCTTTGACTAACGATGCTAAGGCTCAACCCCGAAAGCTCTAAAGCCCAATCCCTCAGTGCTCCGTTCAGGATTCTTAGGGTTCTGGGAAGTCTGAGTGTGTGCTCGCTCTGCCGCCCTGAAGAGCAGGATTTCTGCCCTTGAGCCCAATAACCCAACCAAACACACACACACACACACACACACACACACACACACGCGCACACACACACACACACGCGCACACACACACATGCGCAGACACACTGATGGATTCGGCCAAGAGTACGAGTGCAAGAGGAAAAAGAGAGGCATGTTGTTCTTGCTTGTTGTCGCATCAAACTTCAATTGTGGTAAATGAAAATCTAATCTTGGCACAGGGGCCTTCTAATCTGGCTGGCACAGGGGCCCCAGCTCAATTTTATGCAGGTACGCCAGACTGATCAGGTCTGGTATCCACCATTACGCATAGCTTCGTTGGCATGCGTTTGCGTAATGGCCGCATGCCCCCTGCAACAGTTGATTTGGTAAATGTCCAATGCCGGATTGTGTTGAAAAGCGAAATTGCAAACAGTGTAGGAGTGACCCTCTGCTCCCATGTGCTAGGGAGGTTCACACACACACAGCCCCAATGGGGCGTACATGCTTCAAGTAGAGTGGAAGGTCTGATGCGCGGCAATAGGAGTGAATGGCGCACTTTTCTCGCTGTCAATAGCGATCGGGTGATTGTCGTATTTCCTGATCCGAACAGGTTCTAACAAAAAGCACCGGCATCAACGTGGCTAATGTGGTGACTGAATCCCAATCATGTAGTCGTCGACGGTTTTGTTCGAAGAAGAAAGCTGGGATTTTAGGAGTTCTGCCGGTGATCTCCTTGATGCGGTAGGAGAAGATCTTGCGAGCTTGGAGAACGTTGTCACCCAGACAAAGCACCACGTGTAAGAACATGTGCTTGTCTCTGGTGATGCGGTCGGGTGGAATTTCAACAGTCATCCGAAAACATTGTCCTGCCATGGAGTACCATGGAAGGCCGGCCTCGGCAGCCTTTCGCTTTGTCATATTTTTGCTGCTACCAACCGACAAAAGCTTGAACAAGGAATGCAAATCAACATGGACATGATGTGTGCTCTGGCAAAACAACAAAGTGGTGTCGTCCTGACACTCGCATGCGCAGGCTTTTTGTCACGCTTAGCGGATCTTGCAGCCCTAATCCGTCCTGAGAATTAGGGTCCAACAGCGAGTTTGTTGGGACAGTCACTCATGATCTTGAAATGGCATCGACACCTAAAACCTGCACGTACCAGCATTTTTGCACAAGCGGTTTTGGACCGCTTGTGCTGAATAGTAGGATGCACAATATCGTAAGGTGCAATCGAGTCAGAAGACCAAGGATCTCGAGATGGAGACCGGTGTGCGTCCTCAGCCATGTGTGACGTTGCCGTAGGTGACGCTGATGATGTTGAATGCGAAGAGCGTGTCCTCTTTCGTCTTGTAGTATGTGGATGTTGGCGTCGTTGCTGTGTTGTGGATTGGGATGGTGGTGAGATGTTGCGTGTTTTCTTTGTTTTCATGACTGTTTTGTCCTTTTTGTCTTTGTTGTCTTTCTTCTTTTTTGTCCTCGTTGTGTGCTTTGTTTTTTGCTTGTGTGTGTGACTGACTGCATGGGAGGATGTGGTGGTGTCATCCTTCCTCAGGAAGGCATCAATCTCTTCGGATCCCCATAGGCTGCTGTCGTCGTCCTCGTCCATCTGTGTGCGATCCTAAATATGTTTCAGCAACTGTAGTTCTGAGAAATGGCTGCGGAGTCACAACTGCATTGAGGCATGTGCATACGCTGATCTTCAGAAGAGAGAGAGAGAGGTATACAGAGACATCAATTGAGCAACCTCGCCGACCGGCATGAACTTTCAACATGATGCTCTTAATGTTGAACCTCATCAGGAATGATGGAGTTCGCAGCACAGCTTTGCTGTGTGGTTGTTGACTGCCGGGGGCAGCAAATGTGCATCTAATTGTCAACTCAGCAATGTTGCTCACGGAGTTCTTGACCGCTTTCTCTTGTTGGATGTAGGAGTTGATGTAGTAGATACTGTCTCCTTTTGGGTAGGAGTCGTTGATGTCGGACGCTGATCAGGTTGCTCCGAATGCTTTCGTATCCACTCTTGAGATGCGATAAAGTACACACGCCACCAGGAAGAGCCGTTAGTGGCCCAATGCCATCTCCATTGTGATGCCGTGGGAGATCGCGATCTGGTGCGTTGTTCCATGGTGCTAACACAACTGGTTGTTTTGCAAAATGCTGCGGGCAAGAGTGCATCAATCGCTGCATACCAAACATATGTGAAGTGAGTGCACTGACTGTCACAATTGGCAACAACGACAATCGTTGTTTTAACCGTCCGCTGCAAAGCACCCAATGGTGGTATGAACATGGTTGATCACCTATTGTTGCGAAGCTTCGAGTCTTTCCACTCGTTGCTTTAGCTCTGTGATCTGCCGGGTTGTTTGCAGAATAAACTCGGCTAATTGGTCGCGTAGAGCCTCGTCACTGAATGTGGAAGGTTCACTTCCAGTTTCGGAATCATAGTCCCGATGCTGTGTCAAAATCTCCATGAGGGCCTCAGAGAGAGCTTCACGTCGTGACTCATCGACGGGTGGCGAATCTGTAGTCACTGTGTTTGTCGGAAGAGATGCTTCGCTCATGGCTCGGTGTCGGGATTCCGATAGGTGTCACTTTGAGGCAAAAACTTCAAAAGGCAAAGTTATGGTGTGTGTCTGAAAGCAACATGTGTTGAAATGCGAGAAGTGTGCACTACCTGGCTCTTTTTATACCAGCGTACCTTAGCAGCATATTCACGACCAATCAGGCGCGTTTTGCCTGATGAGGCTTTCGAGTACGTCGAGCTGCTGTTTGCACGAGGCGAGGATCGCCGTGGTAGCCTCGTGTTGAGTGGTCAACACCGTTGTAGCCTGTTGTATCAGGCGCTCGAGTTTGGCATTCGATTCAAGCAACGAATTGTGAAACTGCGTTATTGCTGCCATAATCTCAGTCGATGAATCCGGATCAGAATGATGCGGAGGTGGAAATGGCGGGGTCGCCGGTGCAGCCACTGCTGCGTCCTGCTGTTCTTCCGGATCTTGGTGTTGCTCTTGGTAATCTTGGAAATCTTCGTCTTCTGCAACACGTAGGAACTGAGAGCGCAAAAGCGCCGGCTGTTGATTGTGGCTGCCAACCGCAGGTTGCTCGTTGCGGCGTCTGCTATGCTTGGAGATGGATGGCCGAGGACGGCCGCTCAGCGCTTTGTGGCTCGGCTGCAATCTGCCAGTCATGGCACTTTTATACATGATGATGCCTCAGTTAAACCCTGTAAATGGCTGCGGGAAGCACTGTGTTGATACAAGGCGGCTCTCATGTTGCAAAGTTGCATGGCTCTGGACACACGCACGGCAACTTGGCACAGTGTTTTGCTTACAGCTGTTGATCAGTATAGCCGGCAGCGATGTAGAGATCGCGCATGGCTCGAATGGCTGATGTGGCCTCGCTGCATGGTGTTGTCACTCTGCGTACCATGCGTGTGCGGGCCTGAAAACTGCTGCGAAGTGTTGCAACAGAGGTGGCTGACTGTGGGTGTAAAATATCCGCCTTGTGCAAAGTGCATTGATGCGTAAGGCTGCTGTGCTGAGGGTTTATGGCGAAACCCAGGAAAATGTTGGCCGGTTCAGTTTCAAGCTGAACCGGTGGTTTGTAGAAAGATGCGTCAGTAAGCTGTGCAAAAGGAGGCAGTCGGGTCAGCTGTGCAGGTAAAAGAAGGACGCGGTTGTCGACGTATCTGGTAGCTAAAAAGAAAGCTTGATCCTGCTTGTTGTGGTCTGGAAAATGCTTGTGGTTCTTGAAAAGTTGTTTGTATGTGTGGTGCCAACACTGTTCTTCGACAGCAACCACGACGTTGCATAGGGCTGGGCTGCAGGGCGAGCCCATAGGTGCACCGCGAAATTGCTCAATAAGTGATGTACCAACAGTGAAATAGTTGAGTCGGAGCACTGCAATGATGAGTTGTGGTATGTGTTGTAATTGTATGCAAAGTTTGTTGCCGGAGGAGGCTTCTTGCTGCTTTTGTCTGCTTTTGCCCCTGTGGACACGATGTGTGGGGTCTTTCTGTGAGTGGTCAATGAAGAATTTGGAAGAGTGTAGTGGGTTCTTCTCTCTGTACCATCGAACCATGATGCTGTATGCTGAAAGAAACCGGCTCTGATCGACCGATGTAAAGAAGCCAGCCAAATCCTGATTGTACAGGATGTAATCTGTTGAATCTTGTAATTTCCTGCGTTGATGCAAGAAGAGTGCTGTTTGTTTGAGCTGTGTTATCCCGTCTCCTTGGTGAAAGGAGTTTGGGCATGCTTGAAGTGTCATCAGCTGCAGTACGTCTGCTAAGGCTTCCCATAATTTTCGGCCCATGGTGTCGATGAACGCCACTATAGGACGTCCTTTCGCGAATTGCTTCTTTCTTTTCGGTAAAATGTAGGCACGTGGGATGCGGCCCCATTGTGGAAACGCCCATGTGTAAGTTGGTAGAAGACTGCGGATGTCTGTGTAGACATCGAAGTGGTGTTGTAGAGGTTGGCACTGCGAGATCCGAAAGATCTCTTTGTCTAAAAAAGTGTTGTGTATGGCAGTGTGGTATAGTGCTGGGCAG